CCCGTTCTTCGCATGTGGATCCGATAGCAAGCTCGGTACATCCCAAAGATCCGATGACGTGCTCGCGACCGCTCGATCGCTCGCCGGCGGATCCGACCGCTCGCTCGCCCTGTTCTTCGCATGTGGATCCGATGGGAAGCTCGTTATCTCCAACGGCATCGAAGGGTGCGACGACGCATCATGAGAGCATCGACGAAGGGACTCGTCATCGCAGCAAGCTTACTATCTCACGGCGTTGTCTCGGCGGACCCAACGGTAGTGGTGATGACGYTTTTGAGGACTTAGCAGACCTTGAGGAGGAGAGGAGACCCAGCGGYGGTGAGGATCTTATGGACAGAGGTCGAGGTGTTAGACTCTCTTTTCCTTTTAATGATGAGGACCCGCGGCTTCCAGCTGGTGAAGCCGACGCCGCTCTGTCATCAGACTCTTCCTCTACTTTTAGGTCGCTTTCTTCTGATGCTAAGGTCGGTGATGACGACTCACTTGCAAAGGTTGACCAGCCTGCGGTGGCTAAGAAGAAGAAGAAAAAGCGTCCGGACCTTCCGGGATCTACCCTTTCTGATGCGGAGTCGTTACATCTCCTCCGAGAGAGATGTGAGATTTTGGATGAGATTACGCTGGTTCTCCCCGACTCTTCTCAGCGAGCTGATGCTCCGCCTCCGGGGTACTTTACCCTGTATGAGAATTTCTTCGAGCAATGCCTGCTGTGGTTCCCGGTRCCCGGCTTCCTCCTTCGTTTCTTAGAGGCGAACGGCCTCTCCCTTGCTCAGATTAACCCCAGGGGTTTGAGGCATATCATTGGTATCTACGTTCTGAGCAGAGAGTGCAATGTGGAGATCAACACCGAGCAGTTGTCGTGCCTGCTGGATTTCYGGCCCCGTGGTCGTGCGGAYGAGCTTAGGTACCTTGTTTCCCCTGTTCAGGGYCGTGTGCTCATCGACGGGTTCCCGAGTAAAGACGACCATTTCGAGGACCGGTTCTTCTTTGCCGAGGTTTCGGAGAGGACTGTTGAGGCAGATTGCATCTYYTTYGTTAGGACGAGCTGGGAGAAGAGAGGTAATTCYTTACCTAGAAACATTTTTTGTTAGYGTWTCTTTGATTCATATACTGATTTTCGGGTTGTTTTCTTTGCAGTGAAGCCAGCGTTGCCGACCATCGGCCGGAGTGTCGCAGCAGCCATCCATAGTGCTCTTGTTTCTGGWGGGAGCGGCGACTGGGTAAAGTCGTTCACTCGTCAGAGGGTCCAGAAGGCGCTCTCTACCAGGATCATCCCAGGGAAGGTTCTCGGACGGGGCGTGCCTAGGCTTTCGGCTCACCAGCGAGCGGAGCAGGCGAAGGCGACGCTGGCGAGTGTTGCAGCGCCGGCGAAGGTGTCCTCGCGAAGACGAGCTCCGTCAAATACGACACCGAAGACTCCCGCTGTGCCGGTTCAGCGTTCGCACGCTCCTGACCTTACTCCCGATGAGCTCGAGAGGCGACATGAGCTATCGCGGAAGAGGGCTCTTCTTTCGGAGAGCAAAGGGAGAAGTGGTCCCGACGGATCCCTTCCGAAGCATCAGAAGACGGGTTCCTCTCACACAGTCGTGGCTGGGTTGTTGGCGAGTCAAGGTGTTGCAGCTTCGTCGCCTCTGGTTACTGGTTCTGCAGCCCGTGGTGCCTTCTCTTCGCCAGCTGGCGGGTTGATTCGCGGGAAGGTTTTCGCATCAGCGAAGACCAAGGCTTCTGAGGTTTGTTCTCCCCTTCTCCTCATGCCTTTACGTGTTTTACTTCATTTAATTTAACGTCTTACCCTTCTTCTTTCTCTGTAAGCAGCTTTCCGCTCTCCTAGACCAGTTGGCTTCCGGCGTTGATGAGGACGCTCGCTCCCGGGACAAGGAGCTTAGTGACGTCAGGAAGGCCAACATCGCCCTGMARTCGGAGCTAGACGACCTTACTRAGAGGAATCAGGCTCTTGAGGCTGACGCTGCTTCTGCGAAGAAGAGAGAYGAARAATGGAGTGGTAAACTGGCGAAGGCGTCTTCGAGGCACGCTAAGGACAAGGGGGAGATAGCTCTGCTGAAGAGTCAGCTGAAGGCTGCTGACGACCTCCGGGATGCTAGGGTTGAAGCGGCTATTATCGAAGCCAAAGATGAAGCAGCTCGTGGCTTCGCCAGACGAACTCGAGAGGTTGCTAGGTTGCTCGTGGAGATTGAGGGGACGGCGAAGACCAACATGCTGGATCTTGCTGAAGTGGATGCGAACCTAGAGTTCATCGGGYGTCTTCGCAGCTCTGACGGASCGYCCTTGGATACCGCGGAGCAGGACTTACTTGAGAGGCAGGTTCCGATTTACGATGCTCGTGATGTGTTTGATGAGCTTGTCTCTGGCGTGAGGCAAGCCTTAGGGATCCCAGAGGCTC